CTGGAAGTCATGACCTCAGACTGGAAAATCTTTGGGATTTATACATTCTATTAACCAAAGAATATAAATTCTTGGAAGCTATAAATACAGACCATTGGTACAATGATTCATAAAGCCTACAAAGAAATAGCCTGTTAAACTGTCTGGTTAATTTCCTCTTGTTCCCACTCCCAAAATACTCTCTTTCAAATAAAGTTTTGCAAAAGCTTTACACACATACAATTTGCTTTAAGCAAGTCTTTAAATGCCAAGGAAGTTCTTTTCACAAATGTGACAGGTACAGAAAAAGCATATTTTCACATTAGTAGAGTAATTCTCTGAAGTGGGAGAAAATATGATAGAATTGTGAAAAAGTCTTTTTTAAGTATAAATCACTACTCAGATTAAAGCTATTTAGATAATATAGGGAAATGAATTGTGATTTGCTTCTTAAGCATAATTTAAATCTTTTTCCCCAATGTTTAAAAATAATAAAATGGATATTTTTTTAAAAAAATGTTGGTTTAGTAATATTCAAAGATATCTCTGATCTTGCCCAGTCACAAGTAATTTGTATTCTTCCTTGCCAAGCTGTCCGTTGATATCATTATGCATCCAGGAATCTGAAACACACATCTGATAATCTATCAAACGAGGTTTTTTTTGTTGTAAACAGCAGGTTTGCTGTTATCTTCCTTGAATTGTGTTGTACAATAACTAAGGATAATATTCAACAGTATTTTATAATTTAGATCTATTAATCTATCCCAGGATTTATATGTGCTGCTACATAGTGAAAAAGTTTGTTCCTCTCCTTTTGACAATCAATTGGGCTTAATTTATTATCTCACTGATTTACTATCCTTGAAGACTACCTGGAAATTGCATCCAATCCAAATGCAATCTCAGACTGTGATTTAGAAAATATGTCAATGTACCCTTCTTCAAGGGCTGCACCATTTGTTTCTAAGGACAATTCAGTTTGATAGTGGTCATCTTTCATGATTCAGGTTCTGGCTATCTGCAGGGCCAGCTTCACTCACCACTCTGTTTCTTCACTGAGATCCAGATGACATGATTCCCACTGGTCCTATCCTCACAGGAATGCTGTATGTAGGAATCTCAGATTTAGACTTTCTCAGTTACAGATTCCTTCTGTAGAACAGTGTTCCTTCTGATACATCCTTTTCATAAAGCTAACGAAACCAGGCTGTCTCAGTGGGTCTTTGAGAGCTAAGGGAGCCATTTTAAGCTCTTGGATCAGGATGGTATTATGATTGAACCTCAGCATGTGGGATATTATTTATTACAATCCTTCAGCTCTGACAGGATAGTGGGGAAGAGCTGAAGAAGCTTCTTGGATGAGAAGAGAGACATCTTCAAAGAAAAAACAAAGTCCAGTTGCCTCCAGAAAAAGCACCTTTAGGACAACCATTACCTCGATGACTGAGAAACTCTACAGACTTTTGTTTATTACAATCTTATTTTACATTATTGTGCTTATTCTGTTGTGTAATCTACAGAATACAGAATAACAAGAGTTGGGAAGGACCTTGGAGGTCTTCTAGTCTGACCCCCTGCTCAAGCAGGAGACCCTACTGGCTCAGAGAAATGGCTTTCCAGTCGCTTCTTAAAAACCTCCAGTGATGGAGCACCCACAACTTCTGAAGGCAAGCTGTTCCATTGATTAATTATTAATAATTATTAACAATTATTCCACTGATTAATTATTCGGGACATTTCTCCTTGGTTCTAGGGAGTTCTTAGATCTAATCGTTCTGTACGTTGCTCAGAATCACACTTGGTACAGCAGCATATATGTCCAGTAAAATAAATACATTTCAGTGAATCTGTACATTTCTAAAATTAGATTACTATAAAACTAGATAGTAGAAATTACAATATCCTCCTTCGGATATATGCAAAAACCTAGCTCTCTAGGGAGTGTTCTAATGCTGGGAAAGTGGAAGGAAAGAGAAGAAGAGGATGACCAGCAGCCCCATTATGGTAGTGATGAGTACACAATTGGAACACTTACATGACCTGATGGATAGATTGTCTATCTATCTATGAAAATCTATCTATGTGGCTGCTAGGAGTCGAAATGACTGGATGGCACATAACCAACCAGCATGTAGGTCCAGGTATCCCATTCTCAGAGAACTTCACAGTTGCCAAGCCTTTTAGGAAAGTACTCTCTAGTAAAAGACTAGCTCTAAAGAAACCACTTAAGGTCAATTTAACTAAGTTGTGTTGGCCTGCATTCATTTTCACAGGTACTTTCTCCAAAAGTCAAAAAGAAATTTCCTGCAGGAAAGAAGATGGCTTAAATGAAAATGAATTGGCCTTTTCAGCTTTCCTCATTCCATTAGTGTCCATTGACATAATATTATTTTACCATTGTTTGTTTTTTGCTGAATATCAGAATGGCAGCAGACAATAGTAACTTTGGTTGATTCTGTGCCCCTTCTCCATCTCCTTTGGCTAAATTTCTACAGATGAAAGGGCAGCCTGTTTGATGAACAGACTAGACCCAGAAGATCACTTATGTATGGTACTTAAATAAGTTATGAGATTACTGCCTTTCTTTAGTGGAAAGTGCTTCCAAAGGGCAGCTTTACACTTACTGCGTAGCAGAATAACTCAGTCCTACGCACAAAATTTATCCTCTTGTTCATAGCACATTTCAGTAAGCCCTGATTATTATTTTACTTCTGTCTATAGCTTTGAGTTAGCTTGGTTTGTATGAGCAAATAGGGTTGTCTTCATAAAATGTATTTTCTTGCAAAGAAATGTCTCCTACAGTTCCTTTTAAATCTATTTTTCGTTTATCCTTTCACTGATCATAAGACAGAAGAACAAATCTCCTTTTCACAGTTACAACAGAAATGAAAATAGTGCTGGCCTTGATGGCTAGAGAACCAGCCTTTAGGTTCATTCTTCACTCTTCCTCTTCAAATTTATTATGAGGAAGCAAAGCATCTGACTCTTGTTGCTGCTGTACAATTCTATAAAATCCTATGTGTACTGATGGTGCATAAAAATAATGCTGTCAGTGATTTAGAAGCAGTCAGATAAGCTTGTCCTGACTGATGTATGCACATAACTGTATGTGTATATACATGTAGATCCAGCTGAATCTCTGTGCAATTTATTCATTGAAATTAAAAAAAGGTCTTGTAGAAAGAAACTAGGGTGCACACAATACACCAAGTAACACCATGGCTTTTAGCTTAGTATGATGGATGTATCCATTGTGCCTTAGTGTTTCAAGAAGGCTACTATTCCTTATTTCTTTTATTAGATTATATTTATTTATACTTATCATGCTAAAAAGGCTTAGCATTATGTGTGAACATCACTGAAGAGAGGGAAGAGTTGCACATCCGAACTCCATGTATTGATCCAGAAAAGAAATCTGCATATGATCTATCACCTACAGGGATATTTCCATAGGACACAGTTTAGATATGGAGATGACAGGTAGCAATCACATAAATTATCTGTATTGTATTACATTTAGAATTTTTAAAAATTTAAATAATTAAATACAGTGAGGTGCTACAACTGGGAGTCCTTTGGTGAAACCTGGGGGGTACTGTCAGCCTGAGCTCTTACTGATCAGTTCAAAGGCAAACAAAGAATATGAAGAGACCTGGCAGTGAATAATCAGCATCTCTTCTATCTTGGTTCATGGGAGGAAAACAAGTTGTTTAGCTGTGTCTGCAAATTTCTCCTTTTCCCTTATACGCATCTCTGTCCATAGTTCAGTCTTGTTGCTGGAGCTGATACCACAGACAAGCTGTGTGGTGAAATACGTTGGGCCCGATGGGGAAGAGGTCAAAGTATATCCTCATGGAAAAGGTGAATGGAGTGTAAGGGTTTACAGGTAGTCCTCGACTTACCACCATTCTTTTAGTGACTGTTCAAAGATACAACAGCACTGAAAAAGTGACCTATGACCGTTTTTCACACTTAACAACCGTTGCAGCATCCCCTTGGTCACCTTGCCAAAATTTGGACGCTTGCCACCTGGCATGTATTTAGGATGGTTGCAGTGTCTCAGGGTCATGTGCTCACCTTTTGAAACCTTCTGACAAGCACAGTCAACGGGGAAGCCAGGTTCATTTAATCGCATTAGTATCTTTACAACTGAATGACTCAATCATAAAACGGGGCAAAATTCACTTAACAGTTATCTCATTTAGCAATGGAAATTTTAGTCTCAATTGTGGTAATAAATCGAGGACTACATGTATATATCTTCTTTCCTTCATGGTTTCATGGTATTTACAACAACACAGTGAATCATGACAGAACAAGCTAACCAGAGTATACATTTTTCCGATAATAGAACATATTCTAGAATGAATTAAAATGGGGGGGGGGGTTGGCAGAGCCCTTTAAAGAATAAGATTAAATTCTTCCCACTTCATTCCATGTCAATATAATTTTTCCTCCATTTTTTTTTCCACTGAAGTGTTATCCAGTAATTAGGAGCATGTGAGAAACCCGAAATAACTTGTTATTAATATTAATACTGTAAACATTCTCATTCGTTTGTTTTACTACCTTGAATGAAATATTTTTTAAAAAAGCATTTGATGGTTTCAAATTGTACATTCTATTTCAGAGGGAGTGGCAGGAGCAGTAACCCCCACCCCTCTGCTCCTCCCACGCACATCCTCCTTGAAATACTTCGGTGCGATCCTCACAACTTGGCATGAGTGGGTTTCCCACGAGAGAGGACATCCTCCAGGCGGGAGTGGGGGGGGGGGGAAACCTTCTTTCTTTTCGCCTGGTGGAGCAAGCAAACCTTTGTGCCCCCGACTGACGCGGGGGGGGGGGGGGGGGCCCCCGACCCGGAAACCCCCTTTGCGCCCCGCCCCCCCACACCCGGCAGGGGGGCTGGACCCCATCCCTCCAACCTTCCCCGCCCTTTGCGGCTGAAAAGAAAAGAAAAGAGGGGGGCGGGGCCTGGCGGGCGAGCTCCGCGAGGCGGCACGCGGGAAGGCAGGGCTCCGGCCAGCGTTCGGAGTGGACCGGCGCGTGCGGGCGCGAGCGGATGCTTCGAGGGCCCCGGTGCTGCAAGCAGGGACGGCGGGAGCGATGTTGCTGGCGGCGCGGGCCGAGTACCTCGCGCCCTGGTGGACATCGTGGCTGCACGGGTTCCCGCATTTGAGCTTCAGCCTGCGACCCGTGCCCAGCGCCTTCCGCCCGAAGGACGACGACTACCAGCAGGTGCGCTTTCGCCCTCCGCCTTCGTGGTGGCTTTGCATGTCTTTGCCGCTTTTCCTCCCTTCCCTCAAACCGGAGGCTGCACGAAGCTTCGGCTGTTTGCTGGCTCTTCGGATTTCCCCCTCCGGCTGTTCTCCGGATCTGATTGTCCGTAATGGAAAACCGGCTGTTTGCTTCGGGGCTTCAGCTAAGATCTTGAAAGGGTTTCCCTCCCAAGAATCGGTGCTTGTGCCTTTCCAAACAGGACGAATTACGCCGTCCGTGTCAGTAAAATCGCCCCCCTTTTTGGGGGGGGATCTTTAGTCAAGGGACCTTCCAACTTCCTTCCCTCCTCCTCTCTTTCCGTCCACCCCCGTGGTTTCTTTGCGCAGATGAAGCCCCTCGCGGGCCTGCCTTGCTCCCCGACGATAGACCGAGGCGGGTTGGTTTGCAAATCCAAAATAATATAACCCTCATTGTACGGTTCTGGCTCTACCCCAGCCCGGCCGGTCATTGAATCGTTCGAGATCGGCGAGGCGATGAAGCGTGGTGAAGTCTGGAGTAGTTTCTGCCCGGTTGGCTTGTTGGTGTAGTAAAGCAATGGTTGTGATTCCCCCCATCACCCCACCCCTTTCTCTCTTTCTAAGTGCTGGCGTGTAACGCATTTTGCCCTTTTCGCATTTCTGGTTGCTAAGGAATTAGCCCTTTTCTGCTTTGATGTTGGCGTGATATCCTTACCTTAAAATGCAGCCTTTGGGATTCTGTCGTTTAAAAAGGTGGAGGCAGCTGAGCTTTCTGTTGGCTGCTCTAAAACCAGGTGTCCATCGATTGTTCCTCGAAGTTACAAAAATAAAACGAAGTTTATCTGATCTGGAGGAAATGCATGTTAGAAACCCTTCTGGCCAGTGGACTTCCTCTCTCAGTTTTCCCCAGTTGGTTTCCTTTTGGTTCTTTGCTTCCCCATGTCATCTTGCTGCCTAAGTCGGTCCATAGAATTGGAAGGATTCTTGAAGACCTCTGATTTGTTTTCTGCTCTATGCTAGATCTATAACGTGGGATAAAACAACCTTCTTAAAAGATGGCCCTCCGCTCTTTGATATATAGAAATATTGAATCCATTATATATTAAGGGAGGCTGTGTCTTGGTCAGCCAATTCTTTCTTGACAAATAATTAGCCCAGGATTTATTTCTTTGCATCTTCAGTCATTGGTTCTAAGTGTTGCTCTGTTCTAACCTGGTTCCTCATTCTCACTTTCTTGACATCGCTTCTTCCAAAGAAGAACCCAGAGCACATATGACAAGCAGACCGGTTTGAAATTTTTGGGATCTTTTATGTAATTTATCTATTTTCTATCCTCCAACTCATCACACTCCAGAAATCCTCACACACAATGTAGAAATAACTTCTTCAGGCTTCTTCAGCACCCGGAAATATCATTTTTACCTGGTCCTGGAAATGTAAACTCATTTAAAATAGTGTAGACGTTCTATAACATTTCCTTTCCTGTCTATTCTGCTGCATGTAGTGTATTCTAGAGAGCCCAAATGTATATATTGGAATTTCTGCTACTTCTTGAGATTGGTATTATAGGCATGCTAAAATTATACTATCTTCATAGTTCATTCTGCCAAACAGATTGGCTACTACCACTGGGGATGGGGGGAAATCAATGATTCCTTTGCAATGATGTAGTGAAGATTGACATATAACCAAATTGCCCACAGATTGTATAGTGTTTTTAGGAGTTGATGTTGAATTCTTTGATCTGCACTTCTTGGTTATGAATTTATGCCTCACAGTATGACTCAGGGGATAAAGCAGGTCAATGTGTTTGGCTCCACTTTGTATCACTTTGTGAAAATTGGCCCCAGATGGTAGACTCTCAAGGAATGACCCGTAAAAGCAATACAGTTTGCCGATCCTTCATTTAGATCCACTGAAGGAGGGCCTTAGAGAACTTAAATTTCATCCATCTTTTTGTGTAATTTGGTTAGCAGACTAAGTGTTTGGCATTTTATTTATGAGAACGTAAATATGCACATTACCATATATGCCATAGTCCAGACAGATGAATTTTCTCCTTGATGAGCTGTCCCTAACCTGGTCGTTTAGGTCTTCTTCATTACTGTCATTGAGTCCATCACCTCTCATCCCGTTCTTTTCTTTCTTTCCACCTTTTCCAGCATTAGGGCTTGTTAAGGAATTTGCAGAGTAACCCTTGAGTAGCAAGGGTGTGCACATGAAAGTGATTGAGATTAGTTTCGAATAAACACAGCCAACACACAGATACACTGAGTTGTGTTTACTTTCAGGAAATAGTAAGGCACAGTCCAATAAACAGTCCAGCTCATACACATATAAAGCAGTAGATAGTCAAAACGACAGTCCAGGGATAATCCAATAACAAAGTCTTCTTACCAGTCATCATAGTCATTCACAATAAACAGTTCTTCTGGAGTTGCAAACAGTAGCATACAGAGATATCAGAGAGCACAAAACAGCAAAGAGCAGCAAAGAGAAACAAACCATGTTTCTAGCTCCCTCTTAAGGACATTGGCTACAGAGCTAACCAATCAGGACACAGTATGATGCAATACAGCAGTCTTAAAGCTATATTGATGGTTTATATATTGCCAACCCAGCAAGTTAGGTAATAGTCATTTCCTAACATTCTCCCCTTTGGGTAGGACAATATATAACACCTTTTTTCTAGAGAGCTAGTCCTGAAAGCTAGCTAGGGTAATTTGAACCTGATCATTAGTGCCTTGAGTAAGAACTGTGGGTTGCTTGGTTCAATGATCCCTTTGCTTGTTTTCTTGACTGACCATGGTATTCTCAGAAGTTTTCTCCAAAATTCAAAAGCATCAATATTCTTCCTATCCTGCCCTTTTTACATATACAGTTTCACTTTAAGAAATGGACATTCTATATATTTCTTTGCTCCCTTGCATTTGATTTTTTTAAAAAAAATACAGATAACTCTTACAAAATAAAACATTCAAACAATATTATTAATTTTACTGTCCTTCAGTATTATCAGATGCTTACTGGAAATCCAGATATATTCTAATCAATACTCTATCTCTCTCCCTCCCTCCCCCCCTCTCTCCCTCCCTCCCTCCTCTCTCCTTTCTCTCTTTTGATTTCTTTTCCCTATTTCATTTCAGATTTCTGCATCTTGTTTTTTTAATATATAATAGCATGTTTTTCTTTTAAAAATCATATAGGATCTCAGCATTGTTGGGTCAAGATGATTTTGGCCAGAAGAACCATGAATTGTTCATCAGTGTTCCTTTTGTATTTGACTAAGTGTATCTGCTGTGTTCATTTTGTACCATTACAAATACCAGAAACCTCTAATGTCACAAGCAATTTTGTACAATGGAGATTTGGGGCTTGTGGGTGAAAATTTTCCCATTGTATGGGCAGGCCTGAAGAATTAGATTAATTGAGTCCAGGATTTTGAACAATTCCCATATAATTGAGACATGCACATCTCTAATATGCCAGGAGCTAGTGCCGCAGATGGCAAAGAGAAGTGTCATTAATATGTCTGGAGGGGAAACAATCAGAACAGTGGAAAATGGCTGCAATTATATTTTGTTAAATGCCACTTTTTAGGTGTTCACCTGGAAAACCATTTAATGGACTTTATATGCAGGAAAGCAAACACTGGCACAAATGACTCTAACCTATTTTATGGGCACACTATATAGCAACTTTTACAATAGTGAGAATTCTGGATCTGATGATGGTTAAAGCAAGAATTTAATAAATGTTTCCTGATGCCTTTTTGTGGTAGGTTTTCAGAGCCTCTTGCTCCTCCATAAGTATCTCCTGAAAGAGAGAGAAAGAATTTGTGAAGCAGCATTTGATACAAATTCAGGAAAACAAATGTGCTTTTTTGTTATTGTTAAAATAAATTTTAAAAAAATGTATGTGCAAGTCTGAAACTGCATAATGAAATGTAACCTTTAGACCTGATAAAATGAATCAGACTTGTTTAGCCCATATCTCTTTGAATCTGTGGAGTGAGCATGAGTTAAAACAGGAAAGTCAATTTCTTTCTTTTGGACCAATGTTGTCACATTGTTTGGCCAAACCTACTTTGAATGTGAGCAGCGAGAAGCAAAACCCAGAGTGAATTTTGAGAGATGGCTAAATCTGTGAATCTAGCTATCTATTAAAACCTTCCAGCAATCAAATATTGTGAAGGCAGATTGTTTCCAACAGACTGTTCTATATGTAAATAAAGTCCAGTATTTTTAGCTCTTCTTTTAAAATGTGTAGCTTTTTAAAATGGTGGTTTGTGTTGAGTGGTTGGAAAAAACCAAAATGTGAGTGTTGATAAAAATAAGCCTAAAGTATGATTAAACTTACTTATTATTTTTTATCCACTCCTAATTACGTACGATGAAATATCTTGTTTTATTCACGATGGCGCAGTTGTATAAATTCATTTATCATTTTTGGAGAATGCAATATCATAAAGTTTGAAGAGTTCCTGTCTAAACATATCAGAAGGTGATAAGATTAGGGAATGCTGGTCTATAGATATGTGTATTGTTTAGCTTAGCTCTACTATCAGAAAGAAATTGGAGCAAACCTTGCGTGTTGCCCTGCAGTTCTGGTCTTGAACTTCCAGGACAAATTTTTCATCAGACTGTTTTCAGTCATGATTTATTATGCTATATATAGTAATATATGATAGCTAATCTATATACGCTACTAAATTTCTTGTATCTACCCCTAACTGGGCGAAATGGACATCATATGGCAAAACCCTTTCCACCAAATTACTATAAATGGATTAATTTACAAAATACATACAAAACCTATGACACCCGTGGAATTGAAATTTTGGCAAATTTTCTAAATCATTTTATGACATAAACATTATCATAGAACATTTTATGATATAAAACAAAATATTATAAAATATTTCCTGTGGTCAACTCCTGATCTATGACTGGGCTATGCTGTTCAACATGGGGTAGTTTCAAGGCAGAAACATCTCTGAAT